GATTACTGATATAACAAGATGAAAGGAATAAATTAATTCTTGATGAGCTGGCCCATGATAGACTTAAAATGCTTGAATAACTTAAAAAAAAACAGTTATCATCTATAACCCTCACACAAAAGCAATTTTATGATACTATCATGGAGTATGTCACGAAGAACATAGGTGGATTTTTTTTTTCTTTTGGTGGGAAAACATTTATTTGAAATATAATGTAAATAGCTAGTTGGTTAGAAAGAGAAATCCTGACATATGTTGCGTCCCCTAAAGGGTTTGCCTCTTTATTAATTTCTAGTGGAAAAATTGCCTATTCTAGATTCCTGATTCCATTAAATATCAATGAAAAATCAATTTGTAGCATCAAACAAAGAAGCCCACAAGTTGGTTAGGGCAAAATGAATAATTTGAGATGAGGCTCCAATGATGTATAAGCATTACTTTGAAGCATATGATACAAGGATGAACCTTTTGTTTTTAGAGGAGTTTTCGACAAATGTTACTTATTATTCAAAAAGTCTTTATGTCATCGTTTCCTTGCTAAACATTTTCAGGTATTGTATTTGGAACAATAATCAAAGTGCCATATTTTTTCTAATTTTTTATCCAAATGTTACGTAAATATTATTTTTTATCAAACCGCCACGCGTTGAAGTTCACTATGACTGATGGAGAATTTGGTTAACTTATGATTTCGTGACATGTAGCATACTTTTAAAGGAAAAATTAATTGGACCAAGTTCGCTACCAGTGATAATGAACTTGGTACGTTGTACGCTAATAAGAATGTGCCACGTGGCCTAACTAAGTTTGCTACCAGTTGTAGCGAACTTTGACATGTGATGATATGGTAAAAAATACTGTTTGCATAGTATTTGAATAAAAAATTAAAAAAATTGTGAAACTTTAGTTACTGTTCCATTGTATTTGGCAAAAAAAAGAAAAAGAAAGAAAGAAAGATATAACACTAAAATTAAGTTCTTCATTTGATGGAGCACAAATGAATCCAATCTCTAATTGGATACTACAGATTGGAAACATGGTGAAGTCGGACAACCAAACGATGGTTAACAGAAAGTTCAAATTCCTGTTTATTCATAATTCGGATAATTTATCGGTAGAACTTTCTAGAGTTTTGCTAAAACGTATCAAATCTAAACCTTTTTTAAACAGAATAATATGCTCCGACAAATGAAATGTAAATAATTATTTGAGATCATAAATTCTAGGAAGGATATTATAATAATTAATTAGTGTTATTACCAATCAATTTTATTGTTAGATCGATTATGTTTATGAGTGTAAATAGGTTAGGCTAGATTAGACTTTGGTTTAAATAGGCCAGGCCTGTGTAACAAATATTGGGTATAGCCTGCCTGTTAGCCTGTGTAGGCCCTAAATTATAAATCTGGCTTGACCTATATTTAAAAAAAAAAGCCTTGACCTAAATTTGTTAGCCTGTTTAAGCCTATTAAACATTCAACAATTAAAAGAATAACTTAAATAGTATTACTTTATTATTCAAAATTATTAAAATAATAGTTTTATTTAAAATAAATAATATAATATATGCCGATCTGTAGGCTTATAGGCCCGACATGTATAAAAAATCCTATACCTTATTTTCTAAATAGATTTTTTTAAAAGCACAGGCTTGTTCTATTTTACTATTTGTAATAGGCCAAGTCTGACCTAATATAGGCTAGACTGTAGGCCCTTGTAGGCCGGCCTAACCCATTTACACTCCTAATTATGTTGATCCAACGGTTATATTTATTTTCTTTTTTATATGGTTATGATTTCCCATATTTAATACTTTATATTTATTTACACCCTTGTATAATTATGATTTCTCATAATTAATACTTTTACATTAAATATGGGGAATCATAACCATAGAAAGATGGAAATAAAAATAACCATTGGATCAACATAACTCGATCTAACGGTAAAATTGATTGATGGTAACATTGATAATAACATTAATTAATTGTTACAATATCCTATCCGTAAATCCCACGATGAGAGAGAATATTTAAGTTTCGTTAGCATATGCTAAAAAGATTGGTAAACAAATATTAATTATGAAATTTGTGGTATAGAATTCGTCAATGCTTACGAGCAGGGGTGCTAAACGAGCCAGGGGCCTTTGGCTCGGCTCGTGAAGGCCTGAGCTTACATGTCTAAAATTGATTGTTGGACCCAGACTTGGACTTGTATAAAAGCTCGTTTAATAAAAAGACATCAGGCTCCAATTCAAAAGTTCGGCCTTAGAGCCTCTCAGGCTTGCTTAATATATATATATTTTTTATTTTTTATACTACTTGTGATAGCACTCTCTCTCTCTTCTCAATTCATTCCATCCCATTTTATTAATTAAACAGACTTTTTGAATGATTTTATTTTATATTATGCTATTTGGATATACATTAAATTTATGAATATTTATGGAATTACTAGTGATGTTGATTGTAGATTTTGTTTGGATAAATTTTTGTTATCTTATTATTTTAAAACAGGCTAACAGGCTAAACCAGACTTTTATTTTTTGTAAATGAGTCAGGCCACAGGCTGATATTATATTCGTAACAAATAACAGGCTAAGGCCAGTCTAACACATTTAAACACAGACTTGACCCACTAAAACCAAAGCTCGGCTCGGCTCGTACATACGAGTTCATCGATTTAGACCACGATTCTAACCACACTTCCCTATTTGCTTTCAGGTTTGTATCCCCATGCAAGTGAGTCGTATTGATGTGCACAGTTGTAACTTCGAACAAGGCTATTTCTATAACCACGAATATTATTAGTATTTCTACCTTAAACAAAAGTACATGAATCTATAAGGAAGCTAAAAAAAAAGCACATTTACATACCAAAATATACAAATAGGGATGGAGAAGTGTTATACTTATATTTTTTTTCTTACAATTTTTATTATTAAAAAAATGTTGAATCAAAATTAAATTAAGCTTTAGTTTTTTCTAAAATTTCTTCAAATAACTTTGTCTAATGTTCATCCGAAATAATATTATTTTGAGGCGAAAATCGTGGTGTATCTATAATTTAATTTATTTCAGGATTATAATAACTTTTATTATTTTAAATTTTTTATTTTTCAACGCAAAATAATGTTATTTCGATAATTATTAGATAAAATTAGCTAAAATAACGTTAGATATTTTTTCCCTTAAAAATTAATAATTCTCACTAATTTTAAATTAAAATTAATAATTCTCACTAATTTTAATTTTTTATTGTTTCTTTTTACATTTCTTAGTTTTATTTTTGAGAAAAGTATTTCTTCAGTCACTGGAGATAAAGTTATCTTCTGTGAGCTCAAAACGACGTCGTTTTGAATTATAAAATTAAAAATTATAACGATAAAGACTAATATAACCATGCAATATATTATAAGGGTTCGCTTTTTCTAAAGTGAATGTAGATAACTTATCTACATTGAGCTCAAAACGACGTCATTTTGAGGCGGAAATCAAGGTATTTTTATAATTATAATTTATTCCAGAGTTATAATACTTTTTTATTATAATTTTTTAAATTTTTTAATCCAAAACGACGTAGTTTTGGGAGTGAATGTAGATAATTTATCTACATTCACTTTAAAAACATTAAAGCCATATTATAATTATAAAAATATCTTGATTTTCGCTCCAAAATAAGGTCATTTTAGATGGCAAAAAAATTAATTTATTACTTTTTTAATAAAAAATTACGAATAAGTAGTCGTTTTGCAAAAAATTACGAATCTATAGCACTCAAACACGCCCACATGGGGCGTGTTCTGATGGAGAGAGACACGCCCATGTGGGGCGTGAGCTTCTGAAGGAAACACGCCCAAGGTAGGGCGTGTGTGGCAGGAGAGAGACACGCCTAGGGTTGGGCGTGTTCAGTGTGGTAGACACGCCCAAATATGGGCGTGAGTGACTAAACTGACTGCTATTTAAACACCCAGCCCCTACACACTCTTCACAATTCTGTCATTGTTATGCTAAACTTTCTGATAGTTTGCACTTGTTTACTCCTATTTTGTTTTATCTTTTAAAAATTTGATTTTAAAAATGAGTGTGAATTCTGATACTATTCGTGTTGTTCTATATTTTAACGGTAGGAAAGAAGAAGGTCGTTGTGGTGTTATTTTTGTAGGGGAGAAAAGGCCATCATGTATTAAACGAAACTCAACGGTTGCTGAGCTGCATCAGAAAATACGTCAAAAATTATGTCTTCAAGACAACCAATTGATCACTCTTGTCACGACAAGATTATGGCAATATGAACAATACATTAGCTTGCAAGTGGTCGATGACGAAGACATCGATATGGTAATGGAAGAGTTCTTGAACCAGTGTAGAAAGGATTTCTCAGAGTTGTATGTGGATACTACAACCGCGGAGTAAGTTGTCATACCAATGAGGTTAGTTAGGTCTACTTCTCCTCTTAATGCATCATCATCTGTTGTTCCTGCTGTTAACATGTCTGAGGAAGATGAACATGAACCTACTTGGGTTATGGATGAGGAGTATGACGAAGATGATGAGGAAAATATTGCAATGGAGGATCATCTTCTTTTAGAGGATGTGAGTGCATTGGACAATGACGAAGAATGTGGCAGGTCTGGTACTGAACTTCAACCATTGCATGATTTGGGGGAGTCTCGTATCGTTGTACATCATGGCACAACATCAATTCAAGTACCAGAACATCCTGAAGGTATGCTATCAATTAATATACTGACAGTTTGGTTGTTGCAATTTTTGATTAAGAAAATAATTCAATTCTATTATTATTATTACGTAGTACATGTAGGCGATGCACCTGTTGATCCTTTTTGGTCAGAAATTCCACATTACACATATATTGATTGGGATTATCCGAGTGAGGCACAATCATGGACGTAGAGTTCAGGTTCAATCCAGGGTCCTTGACAATTGGGAGAAAAGTTGTTTGTTAACCAACAATTTACATCCAAAAAAGAGGCTCAGATGGCAATCAAGCGCTACCTCATGAAGGAGCATCAAGAAGCAATTGTGGTTGAGAGCACTCCTACAAAATTAAGCATGAAATGTTGTGCACACGTCAAAGGTTGCCCGTGGAGGGTCAGGGTAATTAAACCAACGTATGGTGAAAATTGGAAGGTAACGAAATGGGGTGGGAAGCACAATTGCTTGAATGACCATCTTTCTCAAGATCATCGACAACTTGATTCTGACGTTATTGCAGCACTTGTAGTAGGTACGTAATTTCAAATTAAAAAGATGATTAAAATTGCAGTTGGTATACCTGTTGTTCTGTTAATGTTTATATCCAGCTTTTGTAATTTAGAGATGATAAAAAAGGAACCTTCAGTGGCCATTTCGCTCGTTCAGGAGAGGATAACTCATTCATATGGATTCAAAGTTTCATATCGAAAGGCATGGTATGCGAAGCAGAAAGCAATGGCAATGTTATATGGTGATTGGGAGGAATCGTATGCATTTTTACCCAACTGGTGTGAATATATGCTTCGTTTTTCACCAGGTTCCTTTTACAATATTCAAACAAAGGATTGTTTTGTTGGGGGGTAGTTGGTTACCGGAAAACGTGTATTTGTTCGTTGTTTCTGGACTTTCAGACAATGTTGTGAGACATTTAAATTTTGCAAACCAATGATACAAATTGATGGCACTCATCTATACGGAAAATATAAGGGAAAGTTATTGATTGCCACAGCTCAAGATGGTAATAATGAATGTGTGCCACTTGCATTTGCCGTTGTTGAGGGTGAGACATTGGAGGCTTGGTCATACTTCCTTGCCAATCTTTGTCAGCACGTCACACAAGCGCAGAATATATGTCTAATTTCAGACCGGTATGTTAGCATATTATCGGCCGTTGAAAATAATCCCCTATGGCAGCCACCCCATGCATTTCATGTGTTTTGCCTGCGACATGTTGCAAGCAATTTTAATCAACGATTTAGAAATGACAAATTGAAGGCTAGCCTGATGAATATAGGTATGTTGCACACTATGATTGGTGAATTAAAATGTTGTAGTTTTTCGTTAAGCGTCAACTGTGTGTTTTTTAAATTGTTCGCAGGATATACTCCTTGCATGGTGGATTTTGAGAGGTCGCTAGCACGATTTCGAGACACAAGCAGGCAGGTAGCAGAATGGATTAATGCCATCCCTAAGGAAAAGTGGTCGCGTGCACATGACCTTGATGGACGAAGATTTGGGCATATGACAACAAACTTGGCAGAATCCATAAACAGAGTGTTAAAGGGAGCAAGAAACATGCCCATTACTGGTCTGGTAAAATTTACATACAGTAGATTGGTTCAATATTGCGTGGAAAGAGGTCAATCGGCTTGTAGACAACTTGAATCTGGTCATACTTATTGCAAAAATGTGATTGAATCATTGACACATAATGAATCCATGGCAACAATGCATACTCTGCGTACATATAATGTTGATGAAACGATTTTTGAGGTAGATGCAGGGTTTGAAAGGACATATGATGTTAACCTTACTGCTCGTACATGCCAATGTGGACAATTTAAAGCATTTAAATATCCTTGTAGTCACGCCGTTGCTGCAGCGTTATCCATTCGTCGAAATTATCGACAATATATAGATGATGTTTTCAAGACGTCAAACTTGGTAAAGGCGTACTCATTTCCGTGGCAACCAATCGGCAATGAGCAAGCAATTCCACCCAACAATGCAGGTCCTGTGGTAATACCAGATAACAATATGTTGCGGGCAAAAGGTCGTCCAAAGTCTACAAGAATACGGAACGAGATGGATGAGGTTGAAACTATTACATCACGCAGGTTATGTGGTCTTTGTAAGCAACACGGGCACAATCGTAGGTCGTGTCCTAATCGTGGAAATAATGCATGATATGAAGTGTGGGTGTTTGTCACTTATGAACAATTATTTTGCCAATTAAAATGTATCGCTCTGTTTTTTTAAGATTAGCTTTTATGGTGATTGTGTGGTTTGATTGCATATAACATATAACATCGTATACATAAAACTTATTTGTTTACTCCTTGCATGCTAATAGAAATATTCAAAAAATAGTCCACAATAGTCAGCGATAGCACAGTACACAATTACAACAGTCCCAAAAAAACAGTCAATACATCAGTCCATGTAACTAAACGAAAACATGAAATAAAACTACGACCAACGAGGCCATGACCTATCACTTGCCTGACGTGGGGGTAATCGATGCCTAGACTGAGCCTCTATAGCCTGTGCAAATGCGTCAAGACATGGCTCCTCGTCGTCAACCGCCTCTGGAACATGAGCTGGTGGAGTCATGCAAGACATGCCAGGTGTAGAGGCAACATATCCACCGCTCGCATATGGTATAAAATCATGTTGTGCACTAACATGTGTAGGCCAATCGCCTACTCCGTCTGTGGTCAAGTCCAAGGTCTGGCACCACTACGTTACGTCTTCCATATTCCACTCCTGATACTCTGTACCACAGGAAGGATCCTGAGAGACCGGTACCCCACCAGATGCGCATGCCATGGGGCTAGCCTGATAAACCTGCTCACTCTGTGTAAACCCCTGGCCATACGATGGACCTGGCTGGCTATCATAATACTGTGGCGGAGGAGGACCATGGTACATAGGCTGTGGCCCGCCTGCTTGGCTCAGCACTAGCGGTCTAAACCAACCCTGCATATCAGTGCGCGGTCTAGGAGCAATAATAGGATCGGGTATCGCTCGAACCGATTCCCGCTGTCGTCCTAGTCCACGTCCCTCCTGCCTGCCACTGGGCACCTCAAAGGTCAACATCAGCTCCTCAACAGTCTGCGTAGGTGGAGCCTCTGGCCCTGGCTCCTCTACTCGTGCCGACTCTCTGAATATGGCAATAATGCGACCAATCTCGTCATGGACCCACTCTAAGCCAAAGGCGGGGAACTGATCCGCAGTAGTCGCAAAATATAGCATCTCCAACCCATCAATCTATAAAGAAATGAAACAACATGAAATAATTAAAAATGTATAAACACATAATCATATTCATAATTGAAGTGTCAAAACTTACTGCTCGTCCAACCCTGGCAGCTTTCCTGGCGACAAACCGTTTCCCTCGCTGTCTGTACCAGTGTAGGTACTCATGGTTCGGGGACATCAACCCGACCAGTTCAGGGGGAACACGTATGGACGTATCCCTGATCGTCCATCGATGTATGAAGGGCCTCAACTTACGCTCCCAATTACCATCCTTCTTCCCTCGCAGAGTTAGATCATGAACACCCTTAAGCTTTCTTGGTCTCCGCGGTATGGGCTGATCAAAACCAAATTGTCGCATACATCTATCTGGTTGAGCGTACTCAACTGTGTGGAAGCAAATGATAGGAGTAATGGCCAACCATAAGTACCGCTCATGATCAGATACAAACAATGCTGTATGGTCCTCTCCGTATGGCTGCCACACAACCTACATATAAAAAAATGAGTAACAAGTACACAATTACCACCAACTATAATATGTAAATAAATAAAAAACAATTACTAAATAGATATCACAAACCTCGTCTCTATAAAGCGTGTCAAGGTTTGCCCGATACCAAGACTGCTCATGTGGCTTAAAGGGAGGTAGGGAATTAAACCTGTAATGGAATGTGTAACAAATTATCATACTCATTCGGCAAATGAACATGTAATAAATTAGTCAATATGAGTTAATAAAATATACCTGTGACCAAAATGCCACTCCGGGTGGGTAGGCTGTGGGATAGGTGGTGCAATGGGGGGAATTTAATCCAAGCCCATATCTGCAGTAATACGTGACAACCACCCAGATTAACAGTCCGCGGGTTTGTTGCCACACATAAATGTCTAAAGAGATAGGCGAGAACTGCAGACCCCCAATTGTATCCACCAATGTCCGTAAAGTCCCCTGCAAGCAGTGGAACGTAACGACAAGCAATTTTGCTGCCACTTGATCTGTCACACACTAACCATGAGCCTAATAGCCGCAAAATGTGTGCCTTGGTGTAACGCCTCACCTCCTCTGGATTGTGTGCTACTGTAAACCAATCAACATATATCTTGTCTAAGTAAGAAATACGTAGATTGCCTCCGTGAATGTCTGTGCCCGCAACAGGGGCAGTCCCAAAAACCTGCTGACACATAGCAATCCAATCCAACGCTGTAGATCCGGTAACTGCCTGCCCGTCAGTAGGCAAACCAAGTATACCAACCACGTCCTGTAATGTAACGATCATCTCTCCCTGCGTCATGTGAAACGTATGTGTCTCTGGTCTCCAACACGCTCAACCAAAGCAGAGATCAAGGGGGTATCGATCTGAAGGAAAAACAACAATTATACAAAGTCCACATGCGGTAATTTAATTAAGTGATTTAAACATTACATACCTGAACATGACTCATACGTGCCACGTGTATGAACCCAGCCTGTGTCAAATAGTCAGCGACAACGTCTGGTATATCATCATGATGAGGTCCCCCCTGAAGTTTCCCTCGCCTCGTCTTTAACCCCCTGACCGTATCCTCGTTCCACACAACTTGTGAAACGTGACTGCGCTGTGTCCTCTTACGGAGTACCTCCCACCTATATGGTCCAGGAAGTACATGCGTACAAGGATCGGATGGCTCAAGATCACCATCGGATCCAGAGCGCGAGGACTCTGATGAAGACGAATGGGCCATAATAGAATACTACTCCAAATGAAAAAGATGTACCCAAATTACTATTGATATTATATTAATTTACACTAAATAAAATTTAATTGCACTTAATTAAATAGCTTTTAACTAACTTCAATTGTTGTATTAATTTCAATTAAATTAACATCATTGACAATTAATTCATTTAACATTACATTATTCTAAAAATATATTTCAATACATTAAATAATTCAAATTCAATTTAAATTAATATTGCATACGGTATTCTTTTTTTACTAGCCCTAATTAAATGTGGTTAATTGAAAGGTCAATATGTTTGCAAGTGTCATTCATAAAAAAGTCATAAAACCAACATATACCAATTTAGAAGTAACTAATTAATTTTTAAGTCCATATCTAATACATAAGTCACATCACAATTCTCTTACACATGTCACTAATATTTTTCTAACCCCTAACAATTAAATAAAGTCACAAATATTTTTCTAACCCCCTAACAATTATCTAAGTCGCTAATAACTATCATATATTAATTGCTGTTAATAAAAAAAATAAACAATAAATAGGGACTTACATGAGAGAGAGACAGAGCTTCGCTGCGCAAAATCCTCCAAAAGAAATTTAGAGACAAGGAGGAGGAGGAGGTTTAGAGAGAGGATCGGAGGGTGGAAATGAGGTAAAAAGGTGAAAGGGCGTGTCTCTATCCTGGAACACGCCCTACCTTGGCCGTGTTTTCTTCAGAAGCTCACGCCCTACCCTAGGCGTGTCTCTCTCCTGCCACACACGCCCTACCTTGGGAGTGTTTCCTTCAGAAGCTCACGCCCCACATGGACGTGTCTTTCTCCATCAGAACACGCCCCATGTGGACGTGTTTGGGTGCTATAGATTTTTAATTTATTACCAAACGACTAATTATTCGTAATTTTTTATTAAAAAAAATAATAAATTAATTTTTTTTGCCGATTTTAGATTCCCCTTAATTTTTTTCTCCTACAAGGAGAGACTGAAGAGTGAGAAAAAAGGGGTTTTTGCTCGCAAACGGGGCCGTACGGTGACTGGCTGAACCCTCTACTTGATAAAATTTCCCTTTCTGGAGTCCAGAATCCCTCGTTTCACAGTTTGCGATCGAAACGAAAAGCATCACAATCGAAATCACGTAACCTCTGATTCTAAATTCCAATTGTTCTAAAAAGTAAAAACCACTCTCATCTATGGATTCGTTCCAGCAACCACATGGTTACATGAGGCCACCACAACCGCCGCACACGGCGGATCCCCACCACCACCAGCAGCAGCAGCAGCACCACTTTCACCAGATGCCACCGCCTCCTCCCCAAGCCCCCTGGTTCTCCACCCAATTCCAGTACCACCCTTCCCAGACTCCTTCCCCTCCGCCGCAGTGGCCCCAGCCGCCGCCGCCTCCTCCTCCTCCTCCGGTGAACCCTTATTCCTACCATCCTAGTCAGTTCCCTCCTCCTCCTCCGCCTCCGCCACATGCTCACGTGCCTCCTCCTCCTCAGTTCCCGCCTCACTCCCACGTTCCTCAGCCTTATCATCAGGTGCTTTTGTAGTTCATATTTGGCTTGCGGTTTTGTTTTTTCTTGATTGATAATCTCACTAATTGTATGGAATTTTTTTAGGAATGGAGCAACCCTAGCTGGCCTCCCAACCAAGGCTATACAGGTTAGTTGTTATATGCTTAACATGTGAAATACTGTTTTCTTATTTTTGGTACCAAAGTTAGGGTTTTGGTGTTTATTATGAAGTTAAAGTCTGGACTAGGAAAGTTATCAACTTCAGAGGCGAGCATTTGCAGAGAAAAAGGAAAACAAATAGTGAAAATACATGCATTATTGTGTCACTTTTTGTTTTTTGTTAGTTTATTTATAACAATCTAATCTGTGCTAAGTACATTGTGTATGCATTTCATTTGTCGGTATTCATGAAGTTAATGACTTCTGACTTGACACTGAGTATTGACCTAGATAGATAATTGTGTGTATATGAGGAAGTCATCATCAGACTTGTATGCCACTTTTCAACTGTAGTTTGTAACATTATTAAAATTAACTGGCTTGGCATGCAGTCATTGGAGTGATAAAATATAACATTTGTTTTGTGTGGCCTCATGTGTGCCTGTGCATGCTTTTAAGTTCTATTTCGCCTTTTTGAAACCCCTCCCCCAAAACCCCAATTTACTATATCCTTTTTTAACGCAGTGGATT